TCGCGCTCGACTCCTCAGATTCCAGCCACCGCTGCTGTCGTTTTCAGACCAAAACCAAACTTATCTCTAAAATATCAACGTCACCCCTAGTTAGCCACTGCCATAGCCCTGGTGACTCAGAGGGAGTCCCTTCCTCCGACTGGTCCGAACGAAACACTAAGTGTTCTACAAAAGAAACCAATACCTACAACAAAAAAAGGATAACAAAGAACCCTTTTCAAAGAAAGAAAAACAAATAATCGAGAGAGAGAAAATGAGGACTTACCACTCGAAGCCGTGTATCTCATCACCGAAGGAAAGAGGAACCACCAGAAACCGAAGGTAACCCATTCATTTCCCTTAGATCTAGGACGCTAGGGTTGGCTTTAGGTTGGGTGGGATGTATTTTTGGGTTAAGGGAACGACGAGCGTCATTTTTGGGGTAACTTAGGGAGGTTGCCGGCTTCCCTCCAGCGAGGAAATGTAGAGAGAAACGAGAGAATAAAATTTTTCTCCTTTTAGAGAGAGAAGCAAAAAGGAAAATTGAGAAGTATGGGCCATTTTTAGTCTAGTTTTGGGTCTTTATACCCCACTCCATGCGACCCTATTTTAGAGAGGGGGTGTCTGTATTTCTGTGCATGGATAAACCCTTCCCTGAGTCCCCCTAACTTTCTAAAATATTTAATTGGCCACTGAAATGAATGTTCATTTATCTTAATTTAGATCTCAAGATTTATTCTATTTATATTTTAGTCATTGTCTATGTTTACATGTGTTTTGGGGTAAATGTACCCTATATTTTAATAGTTTTCATTTTATTATCGAATTACGATGATGGTTAAATTACATGTCCAGTATCTAGTTTGAATGTTATTCTTGTTTATGGCCATGATTTTTGCTTATTTTACAGTTTAATCATTAAATTTAATATTTTTAATTCCTAATAATGCTATTGGTTTATTTACGATTGAAGTGCCTAACATATGAAATATTTGCATTGGATGTCTTGATCTCTTGTTAGTTTTATAATTTAATCCTTAAATTTTTCATATTTATTATTTTAATCTTTCACTTACATGTTTATAAATTTCTTGCTAGTTGTAATATTTTCAAATATTATTTAACTGGAAGAATTTATAGAAACGCACCTTAACTAACAACTATGTGTTTCCAAGAATTGTTCGAACAAAATAATATATTTGATTCTGAATAAATTTTTGTTTTAATATATTTAATATATGTATTTTATCTTAAAACTTGGGTAATATTATTTTGTATGGGGAATTCATGGAAATGCCCCTTAACTGACAAGGAAGGTATTTTCGGGAATTGTTCATGCAAAATAATACCCTGATATTTTCTAAAAAATGATCATAATTTAAATGTATATTTGAATTTTCCAATTTCAATATTTAGATAGTGTATAATCACTTAGGTACCGATTTCAGGCGTTGTGGGGGTAATAATCTTTCCCCACGCGTAATTGACTCCCGAACCCTTTTCAAAATGAATTTCTGGTTAAACGCTGATCAATTTTTATCTTTTAAAATTATTTTTCTTAAAATTATTTTAAAATGTATTTTTAGGTATTCGACCTACCTAACTCAAAGGTTGATGGCGACTCCAAATTTACTTATTTTTACATTTATTTTAAAACCCAACCTTTTCCAAGATTAAGTTGGATCGCTCCCAGCTATAGCCCTAAAAAGCTTAAGGACCGTTCCAACAAACGTAAATATTTCATTTTGAATCATACACGTATCGTTGCCTGTTATCAACAAATCGTCAACATATATTAACAACATAACAATTTTGCAACCTTCCCTCTTAGTAAATAAAGAGTAATCATCCTTACTCTGACTATACCCTTCCATCAATAATGCTTCATTCAAACGAATTTTCTACTGTCTAGATGCTTGCTTTAACCCATACAACGACTTTCATAGACGACAATCCATCTTCTCCCCTAGCTACAAAATCCTTGTGGATTATCCATGTAAACATTTTCATTCAAATCACCTTGTAGAAACTCATTATAAACATCCATTCATTGAAACAAGTGCAAAAATAATACGAACTGTGACCATTTTCATAACAGGGGAAAAGTATCAACATAGTTGATGCATTCCTTTTGATTGTAGCCCTTAACTACTAACGGAGCCTTAAAACGTCCCACCTCCCTAGAAGCCCAATTATTTTATCTTGTAAATCTACTTAAAAACAATAGGAACTTCCCCTTTAGTTAAGGGAACAACAGACTGTATTATTAGATTATAAAGGCTGAATTTCTTCTTGCATGGTACACTTCCACGATAGGTTAAAAATGGCTTCAGAAAAAGATTTAGGTTCTAAAATGGATGAGGTAGAAATAAAAATTTGAGTATTAAGAGGAAAATGAGAGTGGGAAAAAAGGGGGAAATGCTGACTATAATACCCCCAATTTTGGTTAGTGACCAAAATCTAAATTTTGAAAATTTGGTGACCAAAGTATAAAATTGTGAAAAATATAGGGACCATAGTGGTAATTTTCTCAAAACTTTTTATTCCATAAATGAATAGTTCACCCCCAAGAATGACGTTTTGGTGGTAATCAGATTTTTGATCTGAAATTTGTGTTAAAAGTTAGAAAGTGTTAAAGTCTGGTAAAAATTCGGTAAATAGGATCGAACATAAATTTTGAGAAAATTTGATGGATATTAAATTAAGCTTAGAAATATTATTTTAAAATTTTAAAATGTTTTAAAATAATGTGGATCAATGGATTTGAGAATTTATTCCCACGATCAATTTGGATAATTGGATGAAAATGGTAATATTGAAGTTTTTGGAAAAGAGCATGGGTAAGGTTGTAAAGGGTAAATTATTTTGTTCCTCTTTGAATTTGGGAAGATGATAAGTGTTATGTGGCTTGGTATGGATGTGGTTATCAAGTTTCATTAATGGTAAAGTTGTCATTTCCCTTTAAATGATTTTTAATTTCATTTAAGGTTAATAAATGACAAAATAATATGAAATTAACTAGAAATTTCATGAAAATAAGGCCTTCTTCAAGCTTCATTTCGTGCTCCTTCATTCCCTAGGTAAGAAAAAATTTTATTTTTCATTTTCAAGCAATTTTCTTAGGTTTTTGGATTAAGACGTGAAATGAAAAATTGTTCTATTCGATGAGCTCTATCATTTGGTACCAATATTGCATGCTAATCTTGTTTGAGTTCAAATATTCTAAATTCTAGGGTATATGTTCATGTTAGGGTTTAAGATTTAGAGTTTATGTTCATGTTAGGGTTTAAGAAGATGATGATGGATTTTGAGGTTTTTGATGTTGTATAATAATTTTCAAGCTTGATTGATGGTTAAAACCACCTAATGCAGCCTAGCCCTAATTTTGGGGGGGAGTTGTGATTTGATGAAATTAAGTTGGGGGTTTAATTGTATAGGTTTTGAAATGTTGAATTGTGGTTGATTTCATGCTTGAATCAAGTGAAAATCATGGAATCCCAACCCCTAGAGAATCCGACAAGAAATAGTAAAAAATTGTGAACAAAAATTTCCATGGCTTAGAAATGATATTTAGAAGGTTTTACAAGCCTTAGAAAAATTTTGAAACCATTTTTTTGTAATTTTTCAAAAGTTGGGGGACCTAGGTGGCAATTTTGAAAAGTTATGGGGTAAATGTGTAAATACCCAATAGTTGATGTAGATTTCTGTAATTTTATTTTGAAGGACTGAAATTGATGTTAGAATATGAAATTTGACTATTTTGGGAAGTTAGCAAAGTTTGGGCATTAAATGGTAAATATTGAGAATGTTGGTGACTTAAGTGGTAATAATGGCATTGTTGAGGTATTGGACTGGAAATTAAATGCTGGAATTTTATTTGAGCTATTTGGGACTTGAAATGAAAAAATAATGGCAATGGACCATTATGAGTAAAAAGGAAAAGTTAAGATAAATTTTAGAAAAATTAAAAAATAGTAGTTCTTTTGAGTATTATTATTTTGCTTAAAATGTTAGTAAGATTACTAACATGCATTTTATATTTGAATGTGCTATGCACTAATGCTTGTGTAGATCGTGATCAAACTCGTGATACAAGCAAATCGAAAGGTAAGGAAAAAGTCCAAGAACAATCGAATATCGATAGTAAGGCATAATAGTGAGACATACCAGGTGAGTGCATTTTATATGTAAGAAATAGATCGGAAATTGGCTCTAATGCCTTGTTGAAAGAAGATAAAACGAGAGAAACAATCTGGAAAATTTCTTATATCTTCATATATTTCACAAGAGTTCAACAGTTATATACATATACAATCTGAAAAACTAAGCTAAGAAATTTACTGATAATAACAACCTGTAATTGCCTATCTAACAACTACTCTACCTCTCTACAAATTTCCTCTTTTCTTTTTTTTTCTATTTTATTCTTTTCAATTTAGACCATTCTTTGAACCGGATGACACTATATCACACAATAATTATCTTTCAACGATTCAAGACATCTCCATTATCTCAAGTTTATCTTCTTCTCGAAGAGGAGGTAATTGAGAGACTTGCGACTTGTAATGGTATAACATGAGTTTCAATTGTCTAGATGAGTAAGCCACAACCTTACAACCCTACATCAAAATGCAATCCACATCAGTATGAGATACATCGTTATTCACAGTATAAGCCATAATCAAGTCATATGTAACATAAGAAACATGTGAGTTTGATAATTTCATATACAAAGATTGAATTTGATCAAATTTTTTTAAACTAGGGTTATCAAATTAAAGTATAAAGATTGAATTTGACAAAATTAACGTACATGAACTAAAACATAATTTATTCTTAGTACATTAAATTTGACCAACTTTTTTCATCTAAACTATAAATATTGTTCCAACAATTTTGCAACTTTTTTCTCCCCTCCACTTTTCACCCCCTCTTTTACGTTTTCTTTATTAGGGGAAAATAACGAGTATAAAAACGAAACAAGAAACAAAGAGAAGGTAAGAGAGTCGAAAGGCAAAGAATAAAGGAGAGACTTGCCTTTGTGAGGAGATCATAAAACATTATAGGTCTCCAATAAACCAAGAGAAAGGAATTATGGGTTCAATTTTAATTAATCTAAACTTTTCCTTTCTTGTTTTCTTTTTCCTTGTATTAGGGTTTGCCTCTTCCTCCACCCATATTTCACGTAATATTTTTTTTTCTTCATTTCTCGTTTTTTCTTCGTTTTGATGATGTATCATTTATCTGTTTCTTTTTAGCGAAATACCATGTCGTTATAATTATATTATATATACATCAAGCATTTAACTTGACACTTAGTTTAATTTGGATGCAGATCGTGTCCTTCAAGCTCAGAAAACTGATATGCGTGGTGTCCCCGAGTTTTCAATTCGTACGTTACCTTTTTGCAGCAAGTTCTTTTTTCTTTTCGATAGTTTAGGATAATTATAAGATAGTATATGTTCATAATTTTCCTTAGTCATTGACAACACACACCCTATAGACGCAACTGTTCGAACCTAAAACCTCAAGTGAGAATAATATTCTCTTTAACTACTGAGTCTACTCAATGAATTCTTTGGTGTAAGAACATAGATCTTCTTTTATATTAGTATAATAATTAGTCTAAATAAGTAAGGATTTTACTATGTTTAAATTTAAGATTTAATCTATATAAATTATTTTATGGTAAAGTACACAAATGATCCCCTGGCTATAGGGCACTACTTTGTTGAGTCTTTGACTATTAAAAGTTATAAAATGATCCCCCAACTATAGGATTTTGCTTTGTTGAGTCCCCTAACTATTAAAAGTTATAAAATAGTCACCCGACTATTTACATGTTCCAAGCTCGACATTTTTCGTTAAAAATGACAATGGTTTAAGCTAAACGTTAACATGTTAACTGAGATATGATAGTCATTTAAGATTATAAGATTAGATTTTATTATATCTCAGTTAGTAGGTTAACATCTAACTTAAACTGCTATCAATTTTTTAACGTAAAATAACAAGTTTGTAGCATATGAATAGTTGAGTAACCATTTTATAACTTTTAATAGTCGAGGGACTAAACAAAATAGCGTCCTGTAATTGGAGATCATTTATGTAATTTACTTTTTATTTTAATACGAAGTCTATTCTTTTATAATGTTATTAATTAGTTTGATTAAAATGTCAACACAAATATTTAGTTTTATCACCCCTTTCGACTATCTTACTTTACATGAATTTTTGTGTTGATATTCTTTTAAAGAATATCTATGTTGGTGAATCTATCAAGTGATCACAGTGGTAAAAGAGAATGTTGTTCTATTTATAGATCCTGAGTTCAAGCAGTTGTATTAACAGAATGTGTACGCATTGTTAATATAATAAGAAAGTTTTGAACATAAATTACATTGTAGCCACTAAAAAAAATATTTCGTTAGTGTTTTCACTAAAAACGATTAAGAATATTAACTACTTAGACCAATTAAATAACATTAATTATCAAAAGTGCAGCATGCAAACATGATTTCAAAAATATGAACTACACAATCATAACAAGCAAGTGCAAAGGACCGGAGTCCTCTAAAAAAGACTGCTGCGATGCATTGTTGGCGTTTGCTTGCCCAATCGCCGATATAATCAACGACGACAAGACGGATTGTGCTGCACTCATGTTCTGTACCATAAGACAGCATGGGGATTACCCACCAAGTATGTTCATCAACATGTGCAAAAATGGGACACATGCTCTTAATTGTCCTGAAATGTGAATACATTCGGGTGGAACCGACTCTAAACCTCCATCGGTGTGTCCTACAGAGAAAGAATTTACAATCAAAGGCAAGCACAGATAATATGCCATGTAATAAGAATCATCCTACTTTCATTTTAGAAATGTAAGTGATGTTCCACATTCTTTTATTTAATTGATAACTTTACTTTCTAAAATCGATCGTTTTTTACCAAATTAAAGCACAAAGTCTCTTCACAAATCAAGCGACTTCAGTGGTTGAGGAATTATTGTTATTTCTTGAGGTTTCAAATTCGAGCACAACATTTGCAGAAGTGTATGAGCATTCATTGTTAAATGGTTAAATTTTTTTCAACATATACTAACTTATATTGAGCACAAACTAATAAAAAATAAATAAAGCACAAAGCTTTTCTTTGGTCCAGTAAGTTTTAGGCCAAAATCAAAATTAAGCCTATGAACTATATCATTTGTCAATTTTAAGTGTATAAAATATTTCCACTCAAATTAAGTACATAATATTATTTACCTTCGTCTAACATCATGTACGTATTACCTCTGCATCTCAAAGTTTGTGGAGAACCTCTCCATGGTTAGGATGTTTGGAAAAAGAATCTCAAATATCTAACATTAAAAGTTGCGATCTTTTAATATGATTTTTATAGGCATACGTGATCTATCAAAATCAAATTTATAACCAACTGATTGTATTTGCTTATCTTTCCAACTATGAATAGTTATTATGACTATGTTTAACATCAATACTAAGTGTAACTATAAAACTTCTCGACCAAGATCGAAAGGAGGGATAAAACCCTCTTACCTCCACTCATCTTTGTTCTATCTTCTTATGGAGACAGAAAGCCTAAATACAGGCCAACGACTGTCCTACCACCAACTGTTGCTCTTTATCCAAATTAAAAAGAATGAATGAACTATAACCATCTTGACCCATTTGTTTCATCAACTGTTATCAAAACTAATATGAAAATATTAGAAAGTGTAGTATGACACTATCCAAAAAAAAAAACTTGTGAAAATGTTTACTTTTTAAAAAAAATTAAAATTTTAACTTTGGGATTGTATCAACTTTATTGGAAACTCATAATATTAATTTTCCTTGGTATTATATTTCTTTCAATAGTTGTGTTTAATCTCTTTATTCGTTGGTTGCAAATCTATGGAGTTCTAATCTTCCTTGTGATTAAGAGATATGTAGGTTAATGGCTTTATAATTAAATTAGAAAAAACTTGATTAAGAGGGTTAAGGGATTTTTTTTTTGCTTGACAAGGCAATTTTATTAGTGAAAGAGCAGCTATAGTGACTCAGTTATATGTCTTATTAAAAACCTTCCTAACCCTAAGAAGAAAAAAAGAGTACATACAATCAAGATAAAAAATATCTAAAACTAACAACAACATAACACAACAGTCAGGCAATCAATGGTTATTGAACAAAACAACAAAGCAAACTACCTAAAATAGCAATAGCACAATTAAAGCAAGGTTCAGAAATTCTAATTCGTTGATCGTTTACTGACATACGACGTTGACTTTAACCATTGATCGTCGTTAAATTTTTTTTTGAAAATCTCCCTCTTGATTTTTTTCGATGTCCTGAGTCCGATTTTACGATCCATTTTGCCAAATTCTGATATGAAAGTCCCAAAAGGAGCCCGTTAAACCGAAAATGCTTAGTATTTCTAGCATTTTTGCTTAGTTATTTGGGATGTGATTATAGAATTGATCTGAGATTATATTTTTTTGAAGGTACTCATGATTCCCCTGATCGAGGGTTGACTAGGTCCGTCGCTCCCCGTCCAGCAGATCCATATGATCCAAGTTCTTTTAGAGCTACTTGTAAGTTTCTGTAAATTATTTAATTAAAATTATTAGTTATTTTACTAGGATTTTGATACAGTTCTTTTGACTCGTAGGATTTGGCAGTGTCGTTAACCATGATAAGCAGACCAGATAGTAGGCTACCATACCAGACTTCTCAAATCGGTACATGTGTGTTCCTGATGGTGTTACATTATTGTTTTAAACTATATGTCAAAACTATTTTGAAATTTAAATATTTTGACTGCATGATATCTGTTTTACCATATGCATTGAATTATGATATCTAATTTACCGTATATTTCTATCATGATCTCTGGTTACTATATTTTTGTATTTGATTCTGGAAAATGAAATATTTTTTATGTTTTAAAGAATTAAACTATCGTTTTCACTCAACTACATGCATATTTATTATCATTTGGGGGTATTATTGGAGTAAGTATCTCAGGCCTAGACTATGACTTGTAAAACCTTGCCGTAGGCTCCTCTATTTTGTGCACAGGCTATGTCCTTATCGCAAGTCCTTATGCTATTAGTATAAGGTCCTTACTAGGCATATAGGTAGTATAGTTCAGGGGAACCTACACATTATGGTGTTCGGATTGGGGTAGTGTTTGTGTTTTAAAATCATGTTTTATAAAAAATTACTAAATTATTTATCTAAATGATTTATACACCGCAAGGAGCATACTAGGCTTTTTAGCTCACTCTTTAATTTTTAACTTTTCAGATACTATTCGATAGTAAGCTAGTAGACTTGGCATTAGGAGGATAAATTATTCTCTGTTTTTGTACCACTATACATTTTCTCATCCCTATCTCTATTATATTTTGGTGACATATGTTTTTATTGTTGTTTGCATGTACTTGTATTACCGATATTTTGTTCTGCAGATATTTTCATATAGACTTATGAGGATATGGATATATTTACCATTATGTATTTCTTTATTTTACCATTATTCATATTTTATTCACTAAAATAGATTTTAGACAGTGGTTTTAAATCTAAAAAATGTTTTCCTTAAACTGATATTTGACCGCCTAGATTTGATCGTAACGTTCAGGTCGGGTCTAGGGGGTTACACTCACAACTTCATCAATACAACTTATAAGTAAGGTAAACACCAAATAGAATCAATATCATATCAGTTTAATAACAAGTCAAATCATATTTAGAGAATGAGTTAATTACAAATCGGATTCACAATAGGTCAAATTGATAATAGATCAGATAATATTAATTATTTATCACATTAATATCGAATTCGAGTTCTTGTAAGATCAAATGCAAGTTGGGATCTATTATGATATTTTCAAGTTCCATTCTAGTACAAGACATTCTTAGATGAGATACAAATCAGGTTAAAATCTGAAATAATTTATAGCTAAGGACGAGATGTTAGTGCCGTTTGAAGTTTGAGACACATCATTGAGATCTGTGGGGCACCGAAGAGCAAGGTCCAGAATTTGTTTGACCCAAAGGTATTGACCTTTAAAGTTTCATGAGACATTCTGGTGTCGATCAGGAAAAAGTTCTTCCATTTGAAACCTTATTGCACTGGCATTGTCCTTTTTGAACGTGTTTTTGTGCATTTTTTGTATACTCAATAAATATCTTGTTGATTGAACTTATGTCGTTTTCCAAGGTTATTTGCAATAAATAAAGTTTTAACTTAGTAATTCTTTAAATATCGGATCAATTAAAGGTTCTTTTACTATTTCATTAATTATATGCTTTTGACAAGCGACAAGATTAGACCTTCCATACCCCATCCAAAGATGAAAAAATCATTACTTGGTTTCTTACCTGAAATAAAAGAGATTGAAATTTGACATCACTTCCTTCTAAAACAATAAAGTCATGCCCTTATACTCCCCGAGGCCCCAAAATCCGTACTTTTACGTTCCCGAACATAGCTAACCTTTCCATAACATTACCTTTTTCATAATCATGATTTTAAAGTCACATATTTTCTTTCCTAGACACAAAACTAACATTTTTTCCCAATCTTAATAAAACCTGGAAGCACAAAGTACAAGATGTCTGTGTGTATGAGAACCATTACTGCAAGAAGAAAGACAAGATGGAGTGTTGCATATCAAGTTTTTTCAAGAGAATTCAAATAATTGGGGCATGCTAGGAGCAAAGTGAAGTATAAATAAAGGAAATCATTGAAATAATTCTATCATGCATTAATTACATTATTTTCATTGTAAATAAAGTTAATCCTAAGTACTCGTCCCCCTGGGGATTCTTCTTTTACAAGGACTTCCGTGTATGAGATGATGAACGGCTTTTTTTAATTTATCCTTTATATATATATAATATAATATATATATATATATATTATATATAATATATATATATTCTTTGTTGTCCCCATTTGAGTATATAGTATTTTTCTTCTGATTCAACCCTAACCAAGGATCACCCTCCACACCGGGGGGCATGGTGAAGGAAATCTGCTTACAACGATGAAAGCCATCAATCCATATTTTTTGTAGAGGCAATTCATGGCGAGAAATAACAAGATATCGTAAGGTGGACCAAATACGAAGCGCTCAAAAATCAAATCGAGTCGATAACACATAGAGAAAAAAGAAAATATATAGCAAAAAGAAGAAAACAAACATAAAAATGAGAGAAAAGAATAAAAGAATAAAAAGAAAGAAAAAGAGGAATAAAAAACACTTCAAGGCAATTGACTCAATAATCCTCAAACCACAAGGATGATTGAGTACAACTAGTTTGAAGATCCAGATTCAATAAGAATATCAAGAAAGCGATGGCATAGAGAGATGAAGATGAACTCTCGAGTGAAAACCCAAAAATGGGTAGTCTATAGGGATCCAGAAAAGTAAAGAAAATGAAATGGTTATAGTCAGATTCAAATCAGCCAGAGCAAGATTGAAGATGTCAGCACAAGTTGATCCTTGGTTCGATAACCCTTAAACACTTGTTTGGTCCTATTTATCATTTTATTTCATAAGAGTGAACCCTAGCCTATGTTATGTGCCAGAAAAGTCCCTTCTAGCCATACATGGATTTCTAAGTAGAGAGATTATCTTCAGATTTCATTTCGCCCATCAGGGTTAATTTTATTTGCAAAAAATAGTTTTCTAAAATCTTTAATGCATGATAGAGAAAATAATAAAAGAAGGGTTCAGGACGTTAAATTTTAGATGACGTCTTGAAACCAAAGGAGAATTCGAGTTGAAACATGAAAAGACGACTCGAATATGAAGATTGTCAACTACTGCACAGAAAC